AAATGGGGAGCCCAGAGATTCAACTCGATAATTCATCTTAAATACACCCAGAGGCCAAGACTCATGTTGTCAAGAAATAGGCTTCACACGTTCGAATCACCTTAATTCTCTTACTTTGGAGAAAGAAAAACCTATTTTGGGGGGACTTCGTGCAGTCTTCCCTAAAAATTTTTACTGGTGGAAACACTTCGTGGCTGCCCTCCTCCTGCTTTTTCCCATAAGGTTGCCATTTTAATGGTCCCCTACGTGAGAGAAGCCTTGTTCTTCACTAGAAGATTCTCCCCAAGCAAGAATACCGTACAGCTGTGTTGCAAAAGAAACACCATTATTATTTTACTGGTATTATTTCAGCTTTGACAACCAAATTGCAGATCCATTCTTTGTGAAGTGGGGAAGATGGACCTTGTTTTTGAAAAGAAGATTCTTCTGATGGAACATTTTTGAACCATACCTTCAAAATTCATGGATGAAATGTAATTTCACAAGTTTTATGATACATTTATTTAATTTGATTGTGATTATCTGGTTTTTACGTTCATAGTCAAAAAAAACATCCCTACCTGTGACCTCATAAATTGAATTGTGACACTTGATTAAATACAATGAAATGTCATTCTGAAATGTGGAACCCAATCTTATGTGCACTGGGGGCTGGGACAAGTTTCAGGAAATAGTGCACCACAAATTGCAGCACCTGACCTTTCTGCTTGTAGAACAGTGAACACAAAATAAATCACCTGAGACTCTAGAAAAGGAAGTGACATTTACTTGTAACACTGGTTTTGTGAGATTGAGATTCATTAATAACTAGAGAAAATGTTCCCTTGCCAAGTTTGGTTTCTGGACATAATTCTGTTTAGCCATACTTTATCAAAAGTTACTTAAGAATGTAACACCTGTGTTATCACAGTGCAATGCTCATTTAAAAAAAAGATGTGTTTTTATTTTAAAAATAGCCACTGCATTAAGATCGAAACATACAGACACATTTATCTTAAAAAAATATAATAACCTGCTCTGATTCTTAGTATTTCACAATACAGGTAGTCTTCGCTTACTATAGTGTCCTTTCATTAGTGACAACATCACTGAAAAATGGGCTTGCCACCATTCCTCAAACCTATGACTGTTGCAGTGGGAGGCAGTGCTCCTTGGTAGTGGTAGCAAGCCCAGTAGAAAGAGGAAAAGAACATGATGATTGCACCGTGGAGGACAGGGAGGAAGGACCATTGGGATGGTGGCAGGGAATACAGCAGTCTTTTCAGGGCAGCTGAAAGGGCAGAGTTGGGGGAGAGAAAGGTACATGGAAGGAATTGAAGTTCTCCAAGAAGTTGGAGAATTGAAGTTCTGGGCTAGGAGGGACCAAGCCAGGGATGGCGTATCCTCACCTAACAACCTCAGGATTCATTTTATGACAACAACTGGGACTGCTTTGTTGAGCTACAGAGTTGTTGGCATGGGTTCGGGTCATTAATTGGGGACCACCTATATAAAGACAGCTTATATCTAGTTGAATCCTTTGCTTGTAGTATGCCATGCAAAGTCACCTCTGGTGAGATGGGCAGCTATATAAGTTTGATAAATAAAATTTCATAAATGCTGAATAAGTACCATAAGGAGACAGATTCAAATTGTGATCCTATCAAGACCTAAAGAGCCAACAGAAACAAATCAAAGATCAGGCATCATATATCAGGTCCAGTGCAAGAATTGTGAAAATAATTATGTGAGCCAAACAGGAAAGACGCTATCTACCAGACTGCATGAGCACTCCCTGGCAATCAAAAGACATGTCCGTCCATGAGGACTCAGAAGTTTGATCTAACCGGGACCACAATTATAACCCAAGCAAAGTCAAGGAGAGAAAGAGAATTCCTCGAGGCCTGGTTCTCTGCCAACCAATCGGTGAACAGACACATTGACATCGACCCCGCCTACCAACCACTGAGAGCAAGAGAGCTACTTCAGCTGAAATACCGGAAACAACACTCCAAACAAACTGAACATAATTCAAACCACACTGAAGATGTCCCCCTGAACGGAGACGAAACTTTTGCAAGCTAATTACCAAGCCCGGAGATCAAACCAACAGCCCGGAGTATTTTTTTTATCTGGCCTTTATTGTTTTTATAAGTAACTCAAGGTAGCAAACATAACTAACATTCCTTCCTCCTTCTATTTTCCCCACAGCAGTAATCCTGTGAGGTGAGCTGAACTGAGAGAGAGAGAGACTGCCCCAAAGTCGTCCAGCTGGCTTTATACTCACAGTATCTTGATTTCTAGCCCAGTGCCTGTACAACTAAAGAAAACTATATTAAGGGCCATGTTTCCCCAAAAAAGTAAGGCCAGCACAAAAACTCTATTTGATTTCATGTACTTAAATTTGCTTAAATGATTTTCTAATCAAGCTTTTAATATAGAAATATTACAATTTGATAGCATTTTAAGGTCTCTGAGGACTACATCTAAGGCCTTTAGGAGGCTCGTGCAGTCCAAGTCAGTTCCCCTCCACAGAGACCTTTATTCTGCATTATTATTGACCACATTACCAATCCATCCAAGCAAAGGTCTTTTAAGTTGGATTTTTTTTTTGATGATGCCAATTGTAGCTATTAAGATTCGGACATCATGTTTCACAGGAAAGGAAAATAGAATGCTACAGATCATAATTCCAAATAGATTAGACAAGGAATCAGTCATTTCTATTGAGACACAATTTTTTATACTAACAGTAATTAACCTTTTCTTCCTATTAGGCACATTTGAATTTTCCTACCCACCTTAAGCCACACAGGTTGTTCTTTGCTATGGCAGCTAACAGTTATGTAAAAAAAAAAAAAAAGCCCCTATCATTCTATGAACAAAACAATCCAGATAACTTAGGGCAGTGGTGGCGAACCTATGGCACGGGTGCCAGAGGCAGCACTCAGAGCCCTCTCTGTGGGCACGCGCACCATCGCCCCAGTTCTAGGTCTTCAGCTGGGTTTTATAAAACCTTTTTGCTTTAGGCCTCCGCCGCCGTGTGCAAAAAAAAAAGTTCAATCAGTCAATTTCAACTTCTCGCGGGAAAAAAAAAGATCTTGCAAAGTTGGAATTGATTGAACTTTTTAGTCCCATCCAGTCTGCTGTTATCACTGCAGCCACGCCCACCCAATGGGCCACACCCACCCATGGGCCACACCCACCCGGCACCCGATGATGCATAAGTGGTTTTTGGGTTGCAGTTTGGGCACTCGGTCTCTAAAAGGTTCGCCATCACTGACTTAGGGACATTGTTTTTATTCTGAATCCTGCTGATGTGGGAGCCACCAGTTCATCTCTAGAATGTAAGATCAGCAAGCTCTGGAGGAAGAACATATTAGAATTATTTCAAAATGAATCTCCTAAAACCCACCAATCAGCATGGTCTGGAAGAATAAATGAACTTTTTTCTTCCAAGATAGCACTGTTTAATAAATAAAACTTTCTTTTAGATTCCAAGCATTGCATTGCAACCCTTCACCATTTTTGTTTCCCTGTTGGTCTTACGTAGATTCAGAAGCATAGCTGTAAATCAGACTGGGCACTTTACAGCCCCTGGCCACATTCAGCCCTTTAGCTGTTCCTGTCTGGCCTGCATGGATTGCCTCTTTTTTTTTTCTGAAGGTGACTGCTATTTTTTTTTTATTTATGTATGTGTGCCTAAGCATCTTCACAGCTCGATTTGTTCGCCCTTCCACAACAGTCCTAGTTTCTCATCTGGCCCCTTCACAAAATTAATTGCCCTCTCCCACTGTAAATAAAAATAATCCCAGATTTCCATTTAATCTGTAATTAAAACAATATATTTTACAATTCTGTCAGGGACAGAAGTTTGATGAGTGTTAATGAAGATGATGTCCATAGGTACATGGGATTCTGTTGTATTCTTCCTAATCATAACAGCATAGATTTGCGGTAAATTTCAGCAGAAAAAGAAGTTACATAATTGAGGAGGAAAGGTACTACTCAGAATACAATTTTTGATAACTGGAATCCTAGAATCAGAGATATTAGATTTGGAAGGGAGCTTAGAGGTAATTATTATCAAATTTTCATAATAAAAATGTTATCATGGTGGCAGCATTTTTGACAGATGATTCTTCAACCTCTTTTTGAATATCACTTGCACAAAGACCATTAATCCAAAGAGATTTACATTTCATTGGTCTTCATCTCTTAACTGTAAAAAAATGCAATTTTCTGGTAATTTTCTACCCAATTCTGCTTTCTTTTATGTCCTGGGTCTATTCCTGCCTTCTGAAACAATAAAATATAAGGTGTTGCCATTTAGTTTCCCATGGCTGTTGTCTGTCTGTCTATCTATCATCTATCTGTATGTGTGTGTGTGTGTGTGTGTGTTGAAATTTATTGATTATTTATAAGGGATTGGTTTCTAAAATCATGGTTATGGTATGATGATAAGGTAAATGTGATTGTTACAGAACATTTTGGAAAAAAATCGGGTTTAAGAAACATTTTGTAGGGATACTAATTCAGCTTTACGAGATGAAAGGACTTAGAAGATTTTCTTTTGAAGTAAGTAACATTCAGACCAGAGATGGTTTCTGAGATATTTGAGGTAGCTGGGCTGGGCTACCTAGTATAACCCAAGAAATTGAGAGATATCTAACAGCAAGATTTTGCATCCATTTCTGACACACAGTGTGCCGCCGTTATCTAGAAATACTGTGACCAAAGGTTAATAGTACACTCTTATCAAAATTTTGTATTTGACTTCCTAGAGAAATGCAACATTGTGGGAAGGCTGATAGTTATCTTGCCATAATGTTCAAGCCCTTTGCTTTGACTCTCTCCTTAAAATCAAATATGGTGTCATTTAGTGGTGTCACAGAAGATGCAGCTTACAAAACAGATGGTTCTTGATGTATTATTCAGGCAGCCAGTTTCCGCCTATGTAGGACTGGCATCAGTGTAGAAGCCAGAGGGACAACCCATGTTATTCAAGCAACTGGCAGAAAAAGCATTCAACAAAAGACGATTTATTTTTATGAGCCATAGTGCAAGCAGTGAAGGCAGAGCTCTCAGCATAAAAAAGCAAAAGAAGGTTTTGTTCCAAAATATATTACGTAGGTATTGGTTTAAAAAGAGATATCAGTCAGAATGCAGCTCTAATTTAAATGTCCAATATCTAGAGAGGTTAGATCTTCTGAGAACATCGTGTCATTTAAATTTGGTGATGGTAATTATATCATCAAATAAACTGGAAATATATCTTGAAAACAGCTCTAACAAGATTTTCTTCATTTTGACTATTCCACAGATGACAAAGTATCACAAATAGGAAGTATTGGATAATACTTTCTACATTTTAACCACATAAAAACATAGTAAAACTCTGAACTATTCATTAGCAACTGCTAAAAGATTTGGCAGAGTTCTCATTCAGTTAACAATTTCACAGTTCCAATTGTCAGGTTATGAAATATTTTAACAGTTTTATTAACTTTTGTAATGGATTCCAAATCAAGTATAAAGCGGCAACCATATAAGTGAAGCATTCTCAGTCTGTTGGAATGAAAAAAGAACATCAGTCAGACAATAGCTTCACAATTGCCAAATGATCACACAATCACAATTACAGCCTTGAAAGTTGTTTCTTTATAATAATTCAGACAATTTTTACTATAAAATATATTGCAGGGTATGAATAGTGCAGCATATATAATTCATAAACTATTGCCAGAATGTGAAGCAAATGGGAGACACTGGGTGTGTTTCTGTAATTAAACCGAACCTGCAGTTTTAATTTTGCTCTAATTCCTATGGAACAGCAATGTGACATAAAGAATAAACAGTGAGGTTAGCATTACAATATATCTAAAGAATGTATTAAACAAGGAAGTTTTGAGTGAAGCCAGTCCTTTATTTGAAAAGAAACTAAAGGTGATTTCACTAAAACTGTTAAATAAAACAAAAAATAGAAGTTATTGGAAGCAAATTGCTCCAGAATGAATTATAGCACTCCATACTTGATGTATGTACACTAAATCAGAATTGAGCACACACTGGTTCTTAATATAAATGTGAAAACACAGATAATTATTTCGGATCTCATCTTGTGAAAATTAAGCTCTGCAGCTTAACAAGGCTTAAAAGTAACAATGTCTTCAAATCACCCGCAAAACAACACAAAAAATATCCTAAAATTCTATCTTTATAAATATCCTTAAATTACAAGAGTTGAGCGGTCCAATTTTTAGACTTATACATTACACAGGCCACAAACTCTTTTCTACCCTTTATTACACATTTTATCAATCTGGCTAACTTCCTCATATATGAACCAGTTCCAAGAATTGTCAGCAATGGGGAATGAAATTTCTGAACATGTTTATCCATAAAATATCCCTGGCATTATTTTTGCTGCCCTTTTCCTTATTAGCATAAATATTTGCTTTACTCCATACTATATCCCTACTATACTATATTTCTCACATCTAAAAGCTTATATTAATAAAGGATACTGGTTATTCTCATCTACCTAATTTCAGCAATATTTTATAAATAATTAGTTAGATTTCTCATCAATTCTAAAATGATATGCAGCAATAAAATCACCATCTTAGTAACAAAAGAATCATAACCACACCCTTTGAAAATTAATTCAATGTAATTTGAGATATAAAAATATGGGTTTATAGTTAGTATAGTAGGTGACATCTACTGAAAACTTAAATCTGTTTACCTAACAGATTAGATGTGTCTGGAAATATAAATATTTTTCTCTCATGATGTTGGTTGGCTAAGGATAAAGGTTAAAGCACTGACTAAATGCTTGAACAGGAAACAGGTTCCAGTCTCTGTTTTGAAATGTTATTTTTTTCGAAAGCTAGTAGGAAGCTTTTGAAGAATCCTTCTGCAGTACCAAGAAAAATCTTTATTGAAAGAATGCTTGGGACCTAAATATACTTAAGATGATACAGGTGACCATCTATTCAGGAAAAGAAAAAGGAAAGGACATGAAGAAATAGAGAACATTCTGAGATCCTTGATGGGATAAAGTATAACTTCTGATAAATGAGTATTTTGCAACGGTTCCTGCTAAAAATAGCCATTTAGTGAGAAACGTTCAAAACAGGATCTCCAAATTCCAGGTCCTCCCGATGGCCTTCAAAGGTTAGGAATCTCCAATTTAGTTATTTAACACAGGAAAGCATGCAATAAAGTGTAAAGTATTGCAGCATTTCTCCAGGCACTTTTCCTGTATATTTCAGTCCATTGCCCCTCCATTTCTAATCTTGATTAGGGTTCCCATTAATTTGCTGTGTGGGTGTCATTTGTTTCTAAAGATATATTAGCATGTATCCTTGAACATCAGAGAAATATGTTCTACCATGAATTTGTCTAAACCTTTACTCAAACCATTAAAGATGTTATCACACATTGAAGCAGCAAATTTCATTAATTATGAACTCATTAAAACTTTGGTTTTTAGATGTGTCAATAGTAGGGGACACAGGGATCCTATTCTCCCCCCCCCCCCCATGCTATATGTCATATAATAAATCTTGGTCATAACCCATGGCATTTTCTTTTTATTATTTTAAACATATCATATACTGAGGACAAAATAACACTTTATAAACCCTAAATCTCCTGATTATTATGACCAATAATCCATTACATCTGGAGACCACCAGGATATCTATCCTTGCAACTCCATTTCAATAGTTAAAACAAGCTCACCATGCTTATTAACAAGTCACCAAAATGAAACAGTCTGAATTTTAGAGAGATTTTAGCATCACAGTTTAAATTACACTCACCTTTTGCAGTTTTTACATAGTTTTGCAACTGCATCTAGAGAGATATTCTTGCAGTAATTAAGCTTCAGACACTCTAAGCTATTAAAGCAGAAATTAGCCAATAAGCAAACCCTGAAATCCAAGAACAAACATTATGCTTTTACTTTAAGATTTGAAAAGAAGATCATTAGACAAGAATCTTGGATACATTATTTGTACAATATTGGATGGGTCTATGTCCTTCATCATGAACAATTGCAGTGACACGGTAAAGAGAACGGTTCTGTTTTCTCTAATTAATTCACTATTTGGTTAATTTAGATGACTATCACTTTATATACAATTTGCATAAGTACTAGACTGTAAGTAAGCTGTGCTGAGACAGGATTTAAGTTGCAAATTGCTTCAGGATCATTAGAAGGCTAGATTAGAGACCTTTTGTGGGGATCCTGTCATAGGCTTACTCTTTTCTAGAAGATATTAGTGATTTAAGATGATGGAGGAAAAGGTCTGCCAACTGAGTGATCCTGCAGCTCTGCATTTCTTCTCCTTCCCTGGCTCTTCATTGCAGTTCTAGATCACAGACTAGATTAAAAAAAATAATGCTTCTCCTCTGTTGCTAGCTAATCCCTCCTGGTGTTAATACCTATCCATTTAGAGCAGCTGAGAAAAGAGCGCCTATAAGCCAATCTCTGCATCACTGTTGATGGGTGTGATGACCGGTCTTCAAAGCAGTAAAGTTCATCCATCATCCCAAGTCAGCAAATTAAGCAGAAGGCCTTTTACTCATGTTGGTTGGACACATTGAATCTACAGAAAAGATTATCTATCGTAAATGACTATAGGCCTTGCCTATGATGTGGCTGTTTGTGAGCACTACAAAAGGAGTAAGATGATATTCTGACAAAACCTGTAGTTGTCTCTCCCATATTCATTGCATTCCTGGACAATGAACACAGTAACTGGGTAAACATAATGTTAAGTTGTCATCACTGCCATCTTGTCTTCCAATTGGTAGACAAGATGGTATTTATCTTTAATGGAAATGTGTGGAGGAAAACCCGTTAATTTGTAATGCTTTATCTGTCAAGTCAGAAAAGGACCTTTTGTTTTCTATATATCTGTTACCTTAAAAAGTGTAAGGACATTAAAAAATGAACATTCTTTTAACTAATAGAAATCTCATATACCTTCAAGTTTGCAGAAAGATATCTTGATTTTTTCCATGTGAGTTATGTCAGCTTACATTTACTTAAAAGATTAATTGCAATATATTTGTGTGAAAGGGATTGAGTGGGTACTGAACTTAGCATATAATTATTTTTATAGGACAGGAAAAAGAATGTGCCTGGCCTCTGCCCATACATTTATTTATTTATTTATTTATTTATTTAATTTATATGCCGCCCTTCTCCCAGCGGGACTCAGGGCGGCGCACAACATATTTAAAACAAAAGCATATATACAATCCCCCCCTGTAAAACCGAATTAAACCAAATTTTAAAGTTGTGTCTTCCAAATTCCTTAAAATGAACCCAGTATAAAATCCTCCCTAGGTCAGGTCCGCTTGCTGAAAGAGCCATGT